TTTTATTTTATTTAAAACTTATATTATTAATTATAAGTAATTATATCATAATAACATACAAAAGATTTTAAATCATAATTAGATATTAATCCTGAAATAGAAGCTTCTTTTTTTTTTATCCAAAAAATCAAGTTTCCAAAATAAAAAAAGAGAAAAAGAGAAAAAAAATCGAGAAACAAGCATTTTCAACAAAGTAAAAAGTTTTTCGATTTGCGGTTGAAAAAAAAAATATTCACCGTGTGAAATAAAATAGTTTAAAAGGTTATACGCAACTTGATTTACGTTTATTCCGCCAATAAATGCCACCGTGATTGCTTTAATTTAAAATATCTTTTATCTTGTACTCGAAACTTATCATCTTATCAGGGATAAACTAGCACGATGGAAACACCATCTATGAGGATCGTTATCGATAATCCGACTTTAAACGCATCAATTTTACATACTAAAAAAAGAGTAATCATAAATCATGACCCATAGAATCGGTTTTTTATATATTTCATAAGGAAATGAAGAAAGATGCCGAGAAAAAAAACGACGATATAAATCTTATTCGTTTTTTTGCAGAAGACGTAACCATTTCACGCGTACGTTATTGCATAGAAAATTAAAAATATTTCTTTTTGCATTTTTTTTTTTTACATATATGAAATAGAGTAACATGATATTAAGATAGGAAAAAAAATAATTAATTAAAAGAATTGTTGTTCCTTTTGAGATAATTTTATTAATGTTATTGATGAATATATAAGATATGTCATATATTATAAATATTTTAATATGAATTTCAGACAAATACTTTTAGTCCTCCAATATATTATTTAATAATTCTATTAAATAATATATTGAAGGAATTCTCGTTAGGAAATAATATATTGAATATATTAATTATGTACGTCGATGATTGAAATGCATGTTCGTCTGAATTTCTTTTGTAGAATTCGTTTAATTAAAAAAGTTTGCATCTCAACCAATGCATTTTGATGAATACATCGAAAATGAAAATTAGTTCACAGAACAGGAAATATTCACAGAACTGATATTATTTTGTGTTAATTTCATTTTTCTTTCTTATATCATTTAAAATTTTAAACTATATAAAATTAATAACATTAAGAATAAATTGAGAATTGGTAATAACAAAATTTTTTAATTAAATTAATTATTTAGAAAAACTTACTTTTGCGAAATATAATAAAAACATGATAAAAATAATTATTCTTTCGTTAAAATAAACAAATAAGAGGAAAATTTTCGGAAAAATAAATTATCGATGCAATATTATACTATATATTATACGGGACAAATTTAATCATCGTTAGCATTACGTGCTAGAAATAGGACCTTGTAATCTACGTGCCAAACGAGTTACGAAGGAAATTTCTCTAGTAGAAGATCGTATCGAACGTACATCTTGATCATTCGCGATATGCGGATGCAGCAATAAGGAAAGCGTCTAGGAAGTCGAAGAACTATTGAAGATCAATACGGTGCTTCCTTGATTCTGAGATAAACCGATTAAGAAAATCCTATCGATAAGTTTTATAGTCCATTTAGTGCGATCGAAAATTTTTGTTTGGAAAAATTTTGTGTCAAAACAGGTAGAGACAATTTCCAATATATTTTATTATTTTATTATTATTTTACCAATAATATCTTTGAAAATATTTAATATTTAAAATTAATTTAAATCATCTATTATCTATTTCTAAAAATAATAATAATAAAAAGAGAGAAAAATTTTGATTATTGCTCCTAATTTTTTAAATATTTTAAATATAAAGAGCATTTTTTCTCCTTTATAATTAAAAAAAAAATTTTGGGTTACATTATAATTTTAATATTATATTAAATTAATACTTAATATTTTTTTTTGTATTATAAGGGTATATATATATTGTAGTATATAGATTCTCTCATACATTACATTATTATTCTACATATTGTATTTAATAGCTTGTTGAATAATTTTTAAAGTTTGTTTCCACAAGATAATGTCTTCGTAACAGTGCAAAATAATCACCAAAAAATACATTGCGCTATTGTAAATTTAAAAGATCAACGAGGGTGAATAAATGTTTTATCAAGTTGAAATAAAGTAGATTTAAAAGTTTTGAAAAGGAGTGGAAGCTTTTTAAGAAAAGCTTCTTTCAAATTCGCAAAACACGAATTCGCATTCTCGAATATTTTTATTGCTTCAGATATTGAAACAAAATTAATAATTCAATATTTACGAGACTAAACAATAAATTTTTAAATTAAAGATTGATTTGAATTTAAATAAAAAAATGAAAAAAATTTGTAATTCTATAACGAAGAAAAATTGTAGAAATATAGAATAAAATGAGAAGATAAATTTAATTGCAATTTCTACAATAATTAATTAATTAATTAGATTCGATAAATCTCTGTGATGCTATTTTGTTATAAATTTGAAAATTTATAATCTATCTGCTGATCTAAATATTTCATTAACATTCAGTTCAATCTTGATACAGTAAATAACATTTTAAATAATTTATAAACATGCATTCCGATTTTATATATATATTTGTTTCTTTAATTATATACAGTTTCATGAAGCAATAATATAATTTCAAAATTATAAATTTTAATAAAAATTCTCCCAATGTGATAATTACTTAATTTTAATATAGAATAAAACAAAAAAAAAAAAAAGAAAAAAAAAGAATTGCAATTCGAAAGAGATTGGAAGACATTGCTCAATATCGAATGTTAATACAATTTCGACCACTGATATTTCACGTATCAAAATATATCTCGCATTGGCAAAAATGAAAAAAAAAAAACATCTGTGCATTCAATCAGAAACATTTACATTCCACTGCATATGCAAAATAAAATTTAATATCAAATGTAGAATAACAATCCAGACATTTAAAATTCATTTCATTGTATCAAAGATAAGCAATTCTATTACGATTTTAATTCGTTGGATCTAATGTTTTTTGATAAACTTCCCTTAAACCCACGAAGACCAATCAATAGAATAAAACTACGGGAGAATTTCAATTACCTTTTCTGAAATCGTATCTCTCTCGCCCGTATCTATCCTCTTAACATCGATCGCGACGACAATCGTTTCCCTGTTATAAATAAAAATCCAATCTCGAAACAATGGCGCAAAAACCGCGGATAAAAATCGGGACAGATTATCCCCTCACGCGCGTTCTTCCGTTGAAAATTCGTGTATCGACCGGGCTACTTTCAACGAGTTTTTAAACGGATGGGCGCACGGTCAACAGCTGCGGAAGTGGAGGGGCGCTCGAACGCCACCGACACCGATGATTAGAAAAAGAGGAACACGCGGAAAAGGCGGGAAGAGCAAAACAAACGATAGTGGAGAGGCTTGTTGCAGGGTCGTCGGCCTCGAAACGTCGGCCAACGGGATCCGATCGTGAGATTAATCCATCGAATGTAATTGGAAGGTCGCAGCAGCACAGTGTCACAAGTCGAAGATTTACGAGCACTGTGTGTCCTGCGCAAGTCATTCATAGCTTTTGTTTTTACCACGAGAATGGCCGACGTACGACAATAAAGAGCGTTTCGGGATATAGAAGGAGCCGTGAATTCTGACGAATAATATCGCGGTTGCGTGATACATTGAACCAGGATCGATTAATCTTCGTCAGTTTCGAATGTCCATTCGGTGGATCGTGGATCAAATATGGTGGAGGATCGATGGAAATTTGCGGGAGATCCCGTCGTCATTAAATGGCCTATAATATTTCATTTCTCGGGCGATAAATAAAAGAGAAGGGGAGTGATTTTTTTTTTTTTTGAGTCTCGAAATTCGCGAGCTTTCGTAATTTCTGTTTTGAAGGTTTTGTTTACTGTACTTGAAAAAGAGCATCTAATTTTAATTCGCGCTTCAAATATCGGATTCCTTTGCTTTCAACGGTAATTGGATCATTACATCATTCGTAATGAAAAGATGTATTCGAAAGATTTTGGACTTTCGCGAAATCGTTTGAAAATTTTGACCTTTGTCAAAATTTTAATTTAAAAATTAAAATCTATGATAGTTGCTTGATAGTTTCTTCGAAAGAAAGATTGATTTAATTTTTTTAAATTAGTATTAAAATTAAATTTAGTTTCGAGAGAATAGAGAGAATGTTTCAAAAAATCGAGTCAAAATAGAAAAAGTACATACTCGAGGATTATTTAGCAAAGAGATTTTGATAAGAGAATCGTGTATATACTCTTACGAGTATATTAAATTTATAAAATAAATAGTTTAAATGTTTAAACCAAATGTATCTGAAATGGAAAAATTAATATCATCAACAAACTGGAATCATTGTTTTCACATTTGAAAAAAAGAGATGTATTTTTTTTATTTCTTCAGTCACTTCAATAAATCAAGTTGATGATAAATCATATGACTTTTGAAACTTAAAAAGAAAAAAATAAAAAATAAAATCAACCAATTTAACTTTTAAATATCTCAAGTATTGAAATATTACACGTATTACCATTTATCAAAACGATTTATCAAAATTTTCTTCTTCCAATTTCATTCACTAAAAATTCAATACCCAATGTACATAGGAACTTTAAACATAGAAGAAACTCGGTTAATACAGAATCAAAGAATCAAAGAAAAAACTAAATAAGTGTACATAGTGCTAGTCGTAAATTCCTATAGGTTGCCGCGATGAATACAACTTGCAACTGCAAACGGATTATCATGGCTGCAACGACAAAGCCCTCTTTTATTTGTAGTTTCCAACAGGCGCGTTAATCATCAGACCGATATCAAGCTGCTTGAATCGGATGTTGCGGCACAGAAAGCTGGAGCTTACGAAGATTTTCCAGGACAATGAGAAGTTCGTAGGATCACTGGTCGTGGCGCTGTTGACGGCGGATCCATGGAAAGCACGTGGTGGTGGCAGAGGTCGCTTCTTAGACTTGCGAGCTTTCAAACTGAAAGCAGTCAGTCGGCAGCCGACCGTGGTGCACGAGTTGTGAGTTATGTTGTTGTGTTTAGGGAACATATATCGTCTCCATGATGTTGTGATAAAACATTTGAAAACGTGAACGGTGAATTGTTCTCGGTAAGTTTTTGAGAAAGAAATAAAAAAAAAAATTCACTTGTGTATTTGCATGTTTTGCAAAATTGCATTGTAATTTTGTTCATACGAGAATTGTTTTGTGACTACGAAAGTTTCACGTGTTTGGAGGATCTATTGTGTCTAGTTGGTTGAGAAGTAGGATAGAAAGTTTTTTCTTCGAGAAAATTTTCATTGTTCTTTACGTGCGCTAAGTTTAAACGTTAACACGTGCTTTCCTTTGGTGAATTAATAGGATGAATATAATTCAACAAGCTGGTAGGGAAGTTCGAAGTTTTCATTCATGAGGAAGTTTGTTTGCGCGGGAAACTTGAGAAATTGTACAGATAGGATCTGTCGTATTCGTTTAGAAAATTCTGATGTTGAAAACAAGTTCAAAGATTAAAAGATTTGATAGGAATTCTTCCTTTCATTGAGAAATTTTTTTTTCTTTTATTAATTTTGTCGACGAGCAAAATTTTCTTGCTATAATGTGGAAAATAATATTCTACTAGTTCGAATATAATTGATACATATTGATTTTATATATTAATAATTTAATATAAATATGTTTAAAATTATTTGATTCAAATAATTTAGACATTATTAAATTATTTTAAAAGACTTATTTTACAAATTGATTTCTCGATAGTTAAAAACTTTTTTTTAAATTGATCTCTCAATAGAGTATATGAAAATATTCGTACAGTTTTCACGTATCTTTCACTCGAAAATATCATGATATCATTTAAACCATCAATCAAGATTCTTATGTCTCGAAAACTCTATATTCTTCGTAAAGATTTTCATTTATATTCAATAGACGTGTTAATAATATTCGTCCAGTGTCCGTGCATCTTTCATCTGAGGATCGATACCAACTCGAGTTCTTAGCTGCGACTAATTACGTGACTTCTTTTTGTTCATGGGACGCTCGTTATGCGGTAGCTAATTAGTTTCCTGAACGGTGTCTGGTAGGAGAGAGAGAGAGAAAGAGAGAGAAAGGAAAAATGTTCATCTTAACTCGTGATAATTATGACGTATGTGGTAGTATTCAGAAACAGGCGGAAAGACGTGGCGAACGTTGATGCGGTTCGTGAGCACGCGCCAACATAAATAAAAACCTCGAAAACTCGTCTAACGACCGACCGTCCCATCAAAAACTCACTACCTCGTCAAAGAGCGCGTCATCAAGCCAGGATTTCATTCAATGAATCCATGGCGGCAGTCGACTGTAAATTTAATCCTTTACTCTGTTGAAACTCGAATCAAGAGTATCCCCATGGACACGTGTCACGTAAATTGGATACGTACTTGTTCGCCACAGGGACTTTCCGCGTCGAGATTTTCATAATAACCTTCTCGAGCAATAAGGAAAGTTTCGATTGTCCAAAGTGATGTGACCGTTGAGGACTTCTCTGATGGAGAAGTTGGAGCGACTATTTGATTTCAAATTTTCTTTTGTACGTTTTCCTTGATTTTGTCCCCGAGATTGAATATTCCTTGGGATTTTGTAGGTGAATCGGGGGAAATTTTATTAGTGTGAATGCGCTATGGAAGAAGCGGAGCAGAATAAGTTGCAAGTTTGAGGAAAGTGATTGTTCGTTTTTTTTTTTTTTGAAAAAAGATTTCAAATTTAATAATTAATAGTTTTAAACAGTTTCAACTTGATTTGGATTTCTTGTTTTCAAGATTGATACAAATTTGTAGATAGAATTTTCATTTTGAAAAAACAATATTAATATTAATTTATCTTATATTTAAAGTATTATTACTTTCTTATAAATATTCGTAATTTATTCATTATTGTCAAGGGAGAAAAAAATGCAAATTTTCAAATTTCAAACTTTTTTAAATAATTCAAAGAAAAATTAAACTAGTTATCTTTAACCTTTTTATTAACCTCAATTAAAAATTTTTCTAGCGAAAATTTTTTATAATCTCCAAATGATTAGTTAACATCGCTTAAACCTATTTTTTATCGAGAGTATATTTTCCGATACTTCAACTTGCAACTTACAAAAAGACCAAGATAGAACGGAACAAAGTATGTCGAGCTTGCAACGAGGTCTTTGTCTTATCACCGAGAAAGCATACAGAAGGAAGTCATCGGAGGCAAAAGCATGTTGTTATGAATGGCGGGTCTATCGGCGGCCCATAAAAGTCCATTGTAAGCATAGGCCGAGTCGTTCGATAATCGATACAAACCTTTGCATAGGTGATATCGAATACGGATATCTTGATTATTCGCGCGAATTTGCGGTCTGAGAATTAACGTTTATCAAAGCTTGGAAGAAACTTCGATGTTCAGATTCATTAAAATCGATTTATTCCGGAAAGCAATTTCATTAAAATTCCTCCGTCCGAACGAATAGCGTTGAACGAACATTTTTGTTCGATACGTGCGCACACCGCTGAATTCAATCTTCCTCCACGTTCGACGTTCGAGATCACCGTGGAATTAGATTTGGATAGACTTTTGGGCCAAGTTTCCTAAAAACAAAACCGACAATTTCCTCTTTCCCCGATAATGGCCGTATCCTCGAGATATAAAGTTTCTCGCGTTGATTCGAGAACATCCGCAAACAGAATTCCACTTCAGACCGGTTCAGAAGCAATTTGTCGCATAAACATGGAAGCGGAAAACGGAGAGATAGAATCGACGGACGATGGACCTTGCTTTTTGGTTAGATAAATGTAAATCAAAAGCATGTTGCAGACCGCGAATCATTCAGCGTTTTCTTAATATTCGTGATACACCGTTGCACTTTCACCAGCTTTCCATTTTATTCAGAATGCTAATTGTCCCTTTAACAAAGACACGACGCTTGTTCACGAGGTTATCGCTCTGAGAATGGGTCTGCGCCTCTTCGTCGAGAGTCATACCTTCTTACGCTACTCTCTTGCGTCCATTTTTTTTTTTGACGATTTTATGCATGAAGGACTTTCTCTTGCGACCGATTAACCGAATTTTTATCTTTAAAGACCGATTAATCGAATTTTTATCTTTAAAGACTCGTTTTTTATCTTTAAAGACCGGTTTTTTTCTTCTTCTGAATATAAATTTTAATCGGAGAAGAGATTTATTGAATTTGTTTTTTTTTTTTTTTGAAAATCACATTTTATAAATAACGAATGTTTCGTAATTAAGAAAGAAATTGTTAATTTTGATAAATTACAAAATCTCACTAAAGGGCATTTCAAAAAGTCTATTAATTACAAAAATGAAAAGGGGGTAAAAGATTAAGCTATATTTTTGTTCATAGTGCTGACTTGCGATTTTTCAAGCTTAGCATATGAATACGATAATATCCTATATGTATACATGTACGTATGTAGATATGAATATATATAAGGGATCTATAGAATTAAGAGGGTTAATGAAGTCATATCTTAAATTTCTTTGCAAATGAAAACTTTTACCGAGTAATTTTAATATTTTACTTTATATCTTTAATTTATTCCTTATTGGTGGCTTATTATACAAATATTGTATATTCATTTTTTTACAAAATTTGAATTCTTATATGCAACAAAATAATTCTTGACTATTTTATAAAAAATTGCATTTATTAAAAATTTTAGTTGTTTTATATTCGTGAATCAATTTTACTATTAATCTTTAAATTTATTTTTCTCTAAAAGTATAAAAAAAAACATACAATATTCACAAGTAAACCATTTATATGATAGTAATTGATGATTTAAAATCTTTTTAAATGGAACGGAGTTTAAATACAATTGGAATCAATAGGTTTTATCTAAAATTACCAAATACACAATTACTATCCTCGATAAATTCAAACGATACGATCGAGAAAGTCATGTTTTCTCGCGTCATTGCAGTGTCAGTCATTACAATCTCGCCTTATATTTCTCTCGCATCCTCTCAAAGGAAGTCGACAAAATTTAATGTCACGTAGCGTTCTGAAAAATGATTCCAGCGTGAATTGGTCGATCCTATGACACGCGAGCCTCGCTAGTTTACCTAGATTCTTTAAACGAAGTCGATTTCAATAAGAGTTATACAGGTTTTATGAAAGAAAGAAAGGTCAAAAAAGTATATTTCTAAACTTGGGAATGAACTTTACGATATACTGATTTATTGATTGTAGTTTTACTGTAAATAGTTCAGTTACGTCAGCCATTAGTGATGAATGATTTTTAAATGAATAATCATTTGGAAATATTATGAATTATCGATGGTAGTTCGAATTGCAATATTTTATTAAATTGTAATAATAGATGCCAGTTAATAATATTAATAACAAGAATAACAGTCAAAGTTAAGTTGTCAAATACTTTTAATATATGAATAGATGATTGTGTGATGGTAGTTTGGAACTTGTATTAAACCGTGGATTCCCCTAATGGCCAATAAGTATCGATATTAATTAACTGGTAATAAAAACAATATCAACTAAAATTAACACCAATTTAAATTACGTTAAATATTATTAGGTATATATTGTTGGTATTAGTTTAGAACTACTAATAACCATTAATATCAATTAATAATAAAATATTAATTATACACAATATCAAAATTAAACTACATTGGCCATTATTAGTATTTGAGTATTTGGTGATCGCTTAAGAGAGTGTCGAAAAATAGGCAAAAAATCATTTTGAATGTGAGTGCAGAATTCTGGACCATTAATCTTGAAGTCTAAAGTTTTCGAATTCCGGGTAAATTCTTTCATACTTTTTCTCATTGTTACAATTCAAAAGTGATATTGAATGCACTCACAGAAGATATTTACGCGTATTTATGATTTATGATGTTCAAAGTTTGACGTTCATGTTCAAGAGGCGATATAACAACAAAAATAATGAAGAATAGATAAAATACTATGAATAGCTCGAGTAAAAATGTCATAATATATAAATTAAACAACAGATAACAAATTTCTAAAAATTATGTTCTCATTGACGGATATACTAGGGAGAAACGTGTCTAGAAATTCAATAATTTGAAAAGATCATCTGAAACGCACACGTGACAG